CCTGGTCTGAATATTCCAAGCAAGCGTGCTTATCGAGGCAATCACCAAAGGTGCGCAACTTGTGTTAACTTGCAAGACCAGGTGAAAACATGTGAGGTGCCCCATATGTAAAGTCAGCGGGGTGACAACACTCTGGAAATTCCATCGCCTTCTTGATGTGCCTTTGACAACCGGGATTCGAAGAGTACTAGATTTTGATTAAATATGAGTTCCGGACTGCCGGATTATCGGAGCTCTTTTTGACGCTGGACTGGTAAGTGTCTCGATCTTTTTGCCAATTGCGTGTATGAAAGTCCTCTCAGCCGTGGTTTCGCTGAAGAGTGAGTAAAAGAGGGTATCCTTGCGGAGATCCGCTTAACAGCCACCTGACCAATGGCGTTGTTTTTACCATTTAATCGCATTATTATGTGCATGATTCGACAGAAGGTAATATGTGTTATGGCCGTTGTCCAATCCACCCAGTGTGGGCAATGGATGATGACTGTAGAACTGTTGTTTATTATGGGATACGGGGCGAGTGTCTGGAAGCAGGAGACTGGCATGGGAATGGCACTTGTAAGCTTAGGCGTCAAGAAAGCCCAATCAAATAGGGAAGAATCAGAGAAGAGGTGACTGCAGCCATTGAGAAAGCGCTTCAAATAAGTATTTGACCAGTGTATAAAAACTACTGAAAACGCAACGGGGAGGCTGGGTCCAAAAAACCACGGAGATAATAGCTGCAGGTGCTCTTTCAGACAGGGTAGTCGTGCCATCATTGCACTGACATACTTCTATTTCTGAAAGGGAAGTTGTAGGGTGAAGGGTTTATCATAGGATACAGAGTCAAAGACGTCGCTGAAATAGAGTAGGAAGAGGACGAGGCTAAGCAATCTTACTAGAATGGTTCCGCTGATTATCGATTGTGGAGACGGCTGTTTGTAACAAATTTGATTTGTTAGATTGGGGGTGAACCACTGTGATGGATGCTCAGTGCTGCCAACGGAACTAAGTTCTACGTGAAAGGGTCAGCAACTAGCGTTTTGTGTGTCCAGGTAGACTATTACAGTCGAGTTTCTGGCGCGGTAGGCTTCTGTGATGGACTCAAATAAGTGGGGCTGGAAGCCACTGACGGATCTCTCAGCCAGGGATGCGGTGCGAAATCTTTTGTTAGAGCGGAGCACTACCAGAAATGTTAGTGAAGTTGTGATATTTCCTTGGCATAATTCCTGGTCTGAATATTCCAAGCAAGCGTGCTTATCGAGGCAATCACCAAAGGTGCGCAACTTGTGTTAACTTGCAAGACCAGGTGAAAACATGTGAGGTGCCCCATATGTAAAGTCAGCGGGGTGACAACACTCTGGAAATTCCATCGCCTTCTTGATGTGCCTTTGACAACCGGGATTCGAAGAGTACTAGATTTTGATTAAATATGAGTTCCGGACTGCCGGATTATCGGAGCTCTTTTTGACGCTGGACTGGTAAGTGTCTCGATCTTTTTGCCAATTGCGTGTATGAAAGTCCTCTCAGCCGTGGTTTCGCTGAAGAGTGAGTAAAAGAGGGTATCCTTGCGGAGATCCGCTTAACAGCCACCTGACCAATGGCGTTGTTTTTACCATTTAATCGCATTATTATGTGCATGATTCGACAGAAGGTAATATGTGTTATGGCCGTTGTCCAATCCACCCAGTGTGGGCAATGCACATGAATGGACCCCTGACCGGACGAAAAACATTGACTGTGATATTACATTGAATTTTAGTCTCCACGAGGAGCCCCCCGGTAAAACTAAAACATCCCGCTGATCACAGAGTTGCACATTCCAGCCCACCTTCATCAACCACGACGTCTGTCAGGGGGGCTTTCCAGAAATTGAAGCATTGCAGTGCAGCAAATGCATGGAATGCCTTACCTAGTCTGATGTATACCCGGAAATATTCACTTCCTACGTTGACTACGCCAACTTGACCACTCATTTCCTTCCCGGCCATCAAGAACCAAGTCTTTATCTGGTCCCAGCCGCCTCCGGTAGGCATTCATTCCAATCGGTTGAACCTTCCGTTGAATCCAAAAATGTAGGTTACTTTTATTATGTCAGTCACCAAGTCAGTCATTTTCTGTCCAGATCGCTTGCCCTCTTGTGAGTTTGTATGAACTTATTTTCCAAAGGAATGTTTACACCCGGTCCCCTTCGGCAGAAAATTACATTATCCAGTTTTACCGCACTCTGCAGATCGGAAGAGCGTCGTGTANACGGTTTTAGGCTATATTTCAATTTGGCCGGCCAGATCGCGGCAGCTCTGCGGCCTCTCATGATTCGTTGTTCTGGTTCCACATTTTCTGCAGTTTGAAAATATTTATTACGTGCCGGACAGGAAGCCGCATGTTACGCCCTTCCTCATGTTGTTTTTTGCCCCCTACTTTCAAATCCTAATGATCTTATCTTCTCTCGTCTGATATGCTCCTCATAAGAAACGAATAGCCCTCATAAATGAGGCTCCTTACTTGCAGCTGCTCATGCGTTACGAAATCTACATCGATTACCACCCACTGTTTATGTCACCGTCCCTTTTCCGCGAAATAACCAGTGCCCACAAATGCCACCACGGTCATTCTGACCGTAATGTTATGACCATACCTAAAGGTATGCCACTCGCTAGTTGGGAATAAACCTTGTATTATTATTAGCGCTACACTTAATGCAGATTGCTGACCATTTTAAAACGGCGCTATAGAGGCCATGAGGTCGTAGTATGAAGGAATGGCTGTATCTGCGTGCCATTTGAGTCCAGCTATTTTAGGACGACGGGTTAGAGGGATGGATCTTCTATGGATATCCAGATGTTGCATGTGAACTCCTCAGTCTTCACTGAATCTTTTAGTCGCCTCTTCAGGCAGCTCACACGTGAATGCTCTTGCGAAAAACATTGCCGCTTGTGAAAGCATGTTGCCTGATCCCCAACGAAACGACAAACGATGAATCATAATTTCTCTCCTCAGAGATGGCATATGTCATCGGCCACGAAATAAGCATAACCATACTCATAATCATACCGCGATCTACTGCCATTGATAGGCCGTATTGCCGCAGTCTTCTACCAGTGTGCGACTAATTTGGAGGTGTGGCTGATCGAACGACCATGGGAATCAATTGTTAGAAATAAATGCTTACAAGCCGAAGGTATGGGGCGGTCAGTATCTTGATTATGGGGGCCAAATCAACACTTGACCAAGGAAATGTCTTATTTTGGTGATGACCAGACCCAGCAGAAATCGTAGTCGGCCTACGCGGTATCTAGTTGGTGGGACAACACACCGCGCCCAAATTCTTTGATGGTCGATTTTTGTCAGCGCAAATGTGGAATGGCCACTAGACCGAATGAGTTGTAACTTCATCTGGCACGCCTGTTGAGCAATAAAATCACCTACCAGCGCAAGGTGCGCGGACCGGCAGCTCGAGGAGAGTTGCTCAGGGGGAGTGTATGAGGAGCAAGTCGTCGTCCGACGGACTTGATGGGCCCAGAAGAGAATTGGTTCCACCTTAACGCACATTGCAACACGAAAAGGTGTATAAGTGTGTCAGAGGGGACGATCGGGCTGAACAAGGCCATATCCAGTTATGAATAGACCCCACTTGCCCTCCTGTGCTTCTAGTTGGGTGGAAAAGTGGAACATCCGGCTGTCGAATCCTCCGTATTAGAGACGTCCGGAATGGTCCCGACGAGGCCATGAATGGCGACTGGATCCACAATCAAACTGGTCACCTTCGAAGGAGTAAAGCTGAAGGCCGCAAGTTTCTCACTTTCAGAAGAATCATCCACGACTGTCATTACTACGATTGCCCATATAAAGTGCTTTGTCCAGGCCTACTGGCCAGTGGTTGCGAGGCACTTGCAGCAGCCTTCGATGTCGAGGTCATCACCAGTGATGGGTCCGTCGGTGGAATTTGTTATTAATTTCGGCAAAGTGGGCACAACCTAGCTTAGAGCTTGTGACATGTGATTTGAGTACGTTGATCACCGATGGGATTTTTCCGTCCGCTAAGGAACTAGGTGACCATAATTCTACATATTTTCAGTGCCCTGTTGTCTCACGCCTTGCCCGACCCCAGGCACTATTTTCGCCTTTAGTAGAAGGACTGCGAAGATTGAGTAGAGGCTGCGATCTGGAGTCATAATCAGTTGAATGAGATTGCCTGGGATGGCATGAGAGCCCGCAGATATCACCGGGTTGATCATACGTATGGGACGGCCAATCGGAGGTTTATTTCTTGCATCCATCCTGGGACTGGTGCGGTCCAATTTTCGCGCGCCTAGATGGCGATCTTCGGATAAACACTTGACGTTCTGGAAAGCTATTTGAATATTGATAATCCACTTTAACGTCCTCTTCACGGCAGTTGGCGAGAAACGATTGACCAGAAGTCCAAAAGTCCGTCGATCCCTTTTCAGCGCAACAATTGTGCTTGTGGTTGTCCGTCAACAACGCCAGTAAAAACACAGCCAAGAAGCAATTGGGGCAGGTTTTGGCGTGTTCCTTCTGAGAAGCGCTCCCAGATGATCCTCCGTGTGCCTCTCTGCTAGAGATGCCGTGGCAGTCTTATCTTCGGTGGGTATCCAATTCGCCCGTATCTCTTCGGGGGCAGCCTGTCGTAGTCCGGTTCATGATTGTGAACGAGTGTGTGCACCTCAAAAATGAAGTATTGCCTGACAGAATTCCGCATGAGCAAGTTGTATTAGAATAAGAAATTCAACTATGTGACACGTTTCATGTCACTGAATAGATTATACACCGAAAGAATCCATTACCAAGTTTGCATTAAAAACTCAACTGATTTCGGACGCAACACCCATGTGACTTTTCAACTTAAACATGTCGATCTGAAGTGGCTTCAAAGTCAGATTTAGTGTTCATTTACGCAGCGGTGCCAGCAGATACTTATTGACTCCCCAGAACAATGGGATCGCTGCAACCAGAGGATTTTCTTTCGCCTTCTCTACATTTTTGCCTCTTCAGCCTAAACATAATATACAGGCTCAGTCTCTATCACATAGCATTTCTCGACCTGGGCTTTGTGGTTCGATCTCGCATGAAAAGTAACGGTGAATACTCTCCTCAGCTATCTTCAACGGATAGCAAGCACAAGGGCAGGAGGGAAAAATATAAGAAATCAAGTAAAATAAATTGAAAATCGAATAAGTGCGAAAATTACAGGAAAAAGGTCCGATTCGAACTGACTATAGGCGCTGATTGTCCGCCTTGCGCTTTGAATGCCAGATGCGAGCCGGGAGGAACTTCATTTCTTGAGTAATCTTCTGACCAAGTTTATCAGCTTCCGTGGTTTCTCGCGCACTTGGATTCTGATGTTAACCAATCAGACGCTCAGGTTGTCCCGGCTTCCTATTGGGTCGCGTGCCGGCAGCAGGACGATCAATCGTGGAGTGATTGGGGTCTATATAATGAACAGAGGGTGGGGGCCCGAGTAAGGATGTCTACCGACTTGATCGACCTTGGTCACCAGGTGTATTTATTTCCTCAAGCCGCATTTCACCTCGTCTGGTTTCAGGATCCAGCGAAGGAATATACCTCTCAGATGACACCATGCTTGTCAAATGCTGCACGTATGTCCAGCCTTTATCTTTCGTTCAGCCACCCTAAGGGGATTGTCTGATTGAGGAATTCCGTTACGCAGAAAATGCAGCTCCACCTAGCGCCTGCAAAAAAACATTCTTGAAGCACGAACTTCAGTTGTTGGGTGCATGCCACATACAGAACAAATCTTGGGGAGATCTAAAGCGTACAGAGTACAAGTATCATGGTAGGTTCTTGGCTACTTTCTACCCAAAACTGCAGTATTTCTCGGTGGTGCTTGCAATCCAACTACCTGGCGTGTAGACACAGCTATTCCGATTCTCGAGGAACATGATATTACTTATTGTAATCCGGTAAGCTTGATGTATTCGGGCACTTTGTTGATTATTAGTTCGAGACGATCATGGGATTACTCTGTGCTGATTTTTGTTACGTGACAGCCACGCACATCTGTTCGTTAAACACGCTGGCATTGACATGTTGCATTTTCATCATCAGCATTGATGTAAGCAAGCTGTTGGCATCAGTATAGTCACACAAGAGGTCAACCAGGATCATATTATGGGACATTTTTACTATTCAATGCGCGAAACTGGTTAGACAGTCTTTATGTTACGATTGCCATGGCTGTCATCGTTCTGTGGCCTACTGTGTCGCTCCCATGGTTTGGAAGATGAACCTGGTCTAAATCTCCTGGACACACTGCTCGCCGTGCTATTAAAGGGTGATGTATCTCGGTGGCTGTGGCACAAATAGCGTCTGCTAGGATGCCACACTCAACCAAATGAATACCCAGAATATGATCTTCGTGATCTGGCAGAGACATTGAAAATTGAGTGAAATTGGGCAACCTTTCCTGACAGCACCGTCTCTACCATAGACAGTCTCGGGCCTTCGTGTAGCAGAGTTAATGGGATTCCTTAGCTTATGTAGAAAACCATTGGCCTTTAATAATGACCTAGGACTGAGTCCAATTCTACTCTGCAGCCAACTGAATAAAAACGACAGTTGGTTGCTGTAACTTTTGTCAGTAGTCGGAGCACAGCGCAGCGCATCCTGCCTGTGATCCCAAGTTTGTTTAATTTGGTAGAGTATGCAGCGCGGTTGTCTTAGGTGGCGCAATATCAGTGTAACAAATATTTTAACTTTTCTTAAGACCATGCTCCTAGACATGAGGCCACTCCGAAAACAGACATTCAAATCTTTCTGAGCTTTTTGTGTATGTTGGAAGTTATATAAGCCCCGACCATCCTGTAACGGCTGAGGTAAATCCATGAATCTCCGGGGTTTTGTGTCGCGCTTAGTAACTTCAGACAATAAAGCGGTGTATCCCTGAATCTCATGGGCTCAAGTACAGGCTGTTTTGTTGTATGCTTGTGAAACATGATCTCTGCGAGTAATGGAACCGGAAGCTCTTCAGGTTCTCGCTAACCGTTTTACTACTTATCCTGTGCCAAAGAGATTACAACTGTGAATTGGGTCCAGTAGAGCTGCGGTGGTCTGGTCATGTGCTGCGCATACCAAATCATCGTTTGCGGCAACGAAGCACCTAAATTCTACACAATACATTCATAACACCGCGGTGTTCCATGTTGAGCGAGATCTATTGCAAGGGGACTTGGGTGCCTCCGAATAGATCTCCTACTCTTTTAGAACGTAGTTTTCATCAATTTACCTTGATGAAAGGCTTCGTCACCAATTTTTAACGGTCTGTTGATTTAACTATGGTAGGTAGTCGATGGTCTGATGGGCCATTGAGTACTGAGCTGGCTTTTGCTCCACGATAGAATTCATGGTTTTCACCGGGCGATGCTCATCATGTTACTTACATAATGTGGTCCCTTTGGAATTTTTTGTGAATGGATTCCAAACAACAGGTGAGTAGTCACCTGCATTTATATAACATTTGATAGGCAAGCTAGTATTACAGGAAGCTTTGGAAACAGAATCTCGCGCTGTTAAGAAAAAATGGAGTGAGATCGAGTTCTCTGCGGGAATGAGCGTTTTTCACATTTGAAGCAGGGTGTGAAAAAGCTCGTTGCACGAGCGAATGACTAGGAGCATAGCGTAGGGGATGCCGGGTACTAGCGATAGAGAGTGAAGGAACTGCAGGCTATCATTCGAAGTAAGGAAGGTATTGAGCCGTATAACTTTCCATTGGACTCGGTTTAGAAGTGAAAGGCAGGTGTAAGAATCCCCAGTACGGACGAATTTCAGATATGCAGATCAGGTACTATTGCGAAGGGCAGAGGGACTTTAGGGAACACAACAGAAATCTGACGCGGTAGCTCGTATTTCAATTTGTCCGATATGAGACGGATAGAAGAGACCGTTGTAAAATGGCAAACCAAGAAAGGCTGTAGCTGAGATTGTGGGATGGGACCAGATTTAATGGGTACAATATGATTAAAGGTGTAATAGGCATATAGAGATTTTGGAAGGTTGAATGTAACTGCATTTGATAAATCCCATTCGTGAACGGGTGCAAGATCAGTGTTCGGCCTGATGGCAATCTGTACGCCGTCATCTGGCTGAGATGAGACAGGTCTTCATGAGTGGTAAAAATGGATTTGTTAAGGAAAGCGTCTTCTGCACTATTGTGATCAAAGGCGATCAAAAGCGCGCTGTTTGGGTATCAGAAATAAAATTGACAGTTAGAGCTGAATAATGTGAAATTCGGGCTTTGATACTGTCGGTCTGCTTACCAGGGCCGTTTAGATGACATGTAAAAACCGATTTCTCGCGAAGCTTTCTGTAATTCAGCAAGAAGTGAGTGCAGGTCACATATGGGTAGTTTAGGCGAGAACTCTACTTGCTAATCTTCGAAACCTGCAGGTAAAGCATTCCGAAGGACACGACGGTGGTGGTGGGAGTAAGCGGAAAGAGCAGGTGACGACGGAATCCACCTTTTTATTTGGACGGCTAATGATTACGAAAACTAGTGGCAAGGTTTTTCCTGGTATTTGGCGGACGAAGGTCAGTATCCTAGTGCAGTAAACAACTAGCGAACGGTGTCCGAGTTTTAGTCTGACAGTAACCATGCATTTTGTGTTAAATAGTTCATGCTTAGATCAAAATCTCTGGATCATATGACCTATTCTGCCCTCAATTCCTAAGCTGTAGTTTATCACTGTTTCTCTTCCTCATCTGACTCACACCGAGCACTGCCCTGGTTTTGAACTTCTTTCGCTCAAATTTATTCGTTAGCGTAGCGAAATTATGTGTAGTATGCATCTGTTCGTTGAGTGATGAGATACACTCCCTTTTCTAGTCTGAAATTTTACTGCAAAACTTCACAGTTTCGTTGACGTCAGTGTCAGTATTGAGTGTTTTCCGTTTTCCTCCCGCGAAGATTCCCCGGGCTGTGAGGCTGAGTTCTGTTGTCACACCGTTTGCCTTGCCGTCTCGTCGCGACAATGACTCCCTGGAATCCCTGGCTTTTGTGTAAACTCATGCTCGCCTGATTACGTCATAAACTATTCAACCTCTTTGGTCCCCCAGATCACTGTTCCATCAACATATCCCATTCACTTTCCCCTCTAGAGCCTGGCTCACCTCGTGTGGTTACACACTTCCGCTGACCGGTATACCGATTTCTAGCGTTAGTCGTGGGGGGTCCTTCAGTGTGTACTGGAAAACGGGCAAGTGTTTTTCTGACGGATCCAATTATCTCAAATTTTCCGAGTCAGGAGAGCAATCTCTTCCGTCCGAACGGTTTAATCGTGCATACTTGTAAGTGACACATACCGTACGGACGTTGGCAGTTGCATCCCTGTCTTCCGACACGTTCTAAATTTCTACAGGTAGAACATGGTCGCCCGTGGCCGACAAATTTCAAGACAAGTTCAACGCAAAAAAGCTGTCAATCTTGTTAGTCCTAACCTGAAGTTGATCATTTTGGGGTTTGGCTAAAGCAACCAGTCGCAACTTTTCTTGTTCTTTATTCTCTCCTACATTTAATGCACCTGACGGAATAATGTGAAATTCGGGCTTTGATACTGTCGGTCTGCTTACCAGGGCCGTTTAGATGACATGTAAAAACCGATTTCTCGCGAAGCTTTCTGTAATTCAGCAAGAAGTGAGTGCAGGTCACATATGGGTAGTTTAGGCGAGAACTCTACTTGCTAATCTTCGAAACCTGCAGGTAAAGCATTCCGAAGGACACGACGGTGGTGGTGGGAGTAAGCGGAAAGAGCAGGTGACGACGGAATCCACCTTTTTATTTGGACGGCTAATGATTACGAAAACTAGTGGCAAGGTTTTTCCTGGTATTTGGCGGACGAAGGTCAGTATCCTAGTGCAGTAAACAACTAGCGAACGGTGTCCGAGTTTTAGTCTGACAGTAACCATGCATTTTGTGTTAAATAGTTCATGCTTAGATCAAAATCTCTGGATCATATGACCTATTCTGCCCTCAATTCCTAAGCTGTAGTTTATCACTGTTTCTCTTCCTCATCTGACTCACACCGAGCACTGCCCTGGTTTTGAACTTCTTTCGCTCAAATTTATTCGTTAGCGTAGCGAAATTATGTGTAGTATGCATCTGTTCGTTGAGTGATGAGATACACTCCCTTTTCTAGTCTGAAATTTTACTGCAAAACTTCACAGTTTCGTTGACGTCAGTGTCAGTATTGAGTGTTTTCCGTTTTCCTCCCGCGAAGATTCCCCGGGCTGTGAGGCTGAGTTCTGTTGTCACACCGTTTGCCTTGCCGTCTCGTCGCGACAATGACTCCCTGGAATCCCTGGCTTTTGTGTAAACTCATGCTCGCCTGATTACGTCATAAACTATTCAACCTCTTTGGTCCCCCAGATCACTGTTCCATCAACATATCCCATTCACTTTCCCCTCTAGAGCCTGGCTCACCTCGTGTGGTTACACACTTCCGCTGACCGGTATACCGATTTCTAGCGTTAGTCGTGGGGGGTCCTTCAGTGTGTACTGGAAAACGGGCAAGTGTTTTTCTGACGGATCCAATTATCTCAAATTTTCCGAGTCAGGAGAGCAATCTCTTCCGTCCGAACGGTTTAATCGTGCATACTTGTAAGTGACACATACCGTACGGACGTTGGCAGTTGCATCCCTGTCTTCCGACACGTTCTAAATTTCTACAGGTAGAACATGGTCGCCCGTGGCCGACAAATTTCAAGACAAGTTCAACGCAAAAAAGCTGTCAATCTTGTTAGTCCTAACCTGAAGTTGATCATTTTGGGGTTTGGCTAAAGCAACCAGTCGCAACTTTTCTTGTTCTTTATTCTCTCCTACATTTAATGCACCTGACGCTAGAAGGAACAAGGCACAATTTTTTTTTACCTAAATTTAGTTTTCTCCGGCTATGTTGCACCTTACTCCGCCTCTATGCCCCACTCCCATTACCAAGCTATCACGGGAATCCAAGTTTTTAAACTCATAGTCTATACGCTTTTTTATTTTGTTCCTTAATGTTGTCCATGAGTTCGCTATTATTGGTTCGAATATTCGTTTTCGATCCATATCTAATGTCATTCTCTTTTCATCTTCAAAAACCCCATACTCCCTTCTATCCTAAAAAGTTTTCCTGCTCCAACCGCAACCAGTGTTGACCCATCTCCACTGACTCTTGTCGAATATCCCGAAATCCATTCTAACCAACGAAGGCGTTTTTGAAGGCGTCTCTTTGAATATGCATTCTTATAGATCCAGAAGCTCTGTTAACATACGTATCACACGTTGGGTCTTCTCCTCTGCACTCTAATAGAAGAAACATGGTTGCACTTGATGTGTCGAATGCCTTTTGCTCGGATTTATACTGCCAACTTTACTAGACTTCTAATAGTTTCGTGGCGACTCCCCCGACAATGTTTCTATGCGTCTACAATCCTGGAACATCGGTGCTGAAATGCATCGAGGATCTCTACCCTCTCATGCTTTATTGTGTGTAAGTTGTTTGTTCTTGACGGCTATCTATGCATTTGTGAAGTGTCCCATTCTGCATAATTCTTTGTCTTACTATCTTACTAGTATCTTAGTATCTTACTAAGTTGGATACTTGCCTGGTCAACACCGTGAAAAGCATCTGTCCAGCACAACAACCCTCAACCTTTCCAGCTCTGTCCATGCGCTCATTTTCGATCGCCATTCAGCTTCTGACGGTGACCTTTTCATCATTGTCCACTCTTCTTTCACGCCTGCCTTGACTTTTCAACAACCAATACTAGTCCGTACACGTCAAATTTTTAGCTTATCTTTCGGACTGGACCGAAATTATTCCCCTTTATGGATCCCAAATTGTCCTACCTTAGCGTTTTGGTGTAGAGTTTCTTGTTATTTTTCCACTTTTGACACCGTTCAACCTCAAAATATACGCCTCATCGATACCTCACTCTGATCACTAACACCCTTAATTTCGCCTATCACCATGAACTGCCGCTCTTGCCTCGATAGATGTTCAACGCAGTTTAGATGCTGTGCCCACCAATAGTCTCTGCCGAGGTTTTACCACCGGTAGAACTTAACCCTTTTTTTCTTTAGAATATCCACCCTTTGAAATACTGCACATTTGCCTTTGCTTAGTCCATGTAGCCGTCAACTCCCTAGAGGCGAAATGCCTCAGTAGTTAAAGCACGACTCTACTGTCCGGAAGAACTGTGTTCTGAACCCGATCTCTGCCTCTCGACTTCCCCTGTTTAGGTTTGGGCAGTATCCCAGCCCTCGTGCTTCCTTCTGGTGGCATGGCAATTAAGCACCGAAGGGATGCTACAGCTGAACGAACGATTTCCTTAAAGGCCTAGTCAAATTTAATCTTAATTCTATTTTAGGCTTCTTTCATTCCATTTTTTTCGCGGTATTTCTTCTCCATTTTTACAGAGGACTGTGATCTTGAATTCTCCAGTTTCCTAATTCATTGTGTGTAGTGTCGACCACCCCCCAAGGTCCAGTCTGAATGCTTCAGCGCGCCGGTTTAACCAAGACGTTACATCTTTTATATGGTGGTCAGCGCGACATACACCAAACAGCGATACACTGAGGGGAACTGTTTGCCAACTAGATCACTATTTCTAGATCAAAATGTCTGTGAAAGACTGGTCAGCGTTATAGCCAGCACCTTTTGAATTTTTAGCTTTGCACAATAAAGCAGTCATGGAAACCCAGAATAGCGAGTCTTCAGTTTTTTTCATGCATAACGTATCAAGATCCTCCTGACTATTCCATTTACCCCCCTTCTTGCATTTGTGCTCGAGTAGCAAGTCAAGGAGTGGTCTGAGGAGATGGTGAAAATTGAGGCGGAGGCGAAATCAACTTCGGTGGTTTTCCTCTATGTATTCGAGACTTGGCGGACTCGCGCCATTTCGAGCTTTGTAGAAGCAGCTTCACTGGCTGGTCGAAACGCCAGAGTGGTATTTGTCATCTCCAATACTTCGGGTTCAGATCCACCCCTTATTTGCAATGAACGAATATCTGACATGTGAGTGCTATTTCACGCAAACGGAGTTCCCTCTTTTATTCTTCAGTCATGAATCGCTTCCAACCAGCATATTACTTAGGGCTTCTCCTTGCTTTACAAACATTTCATCTAGGTTTGCTTCAGTGTTCCTTCAAAAGATCTGCCTGTACAGAAGAGGGCTTACTGGTTTTGCCTGGCGACTGCGCCCTAAAATGAAGGGTGAAAGAAGATATTCGCCGCTTTGTCTGGGTGAAGCGGTAATGGTCTTTGTAGAGGAGATGAACACAAGCTCGACACGTACATTAGCAGTTCAAAAACGATGGTAGCACGCCACGGTAGTCTTCTGAAGTATCTGCTTGTTAACACCCCTATAAACCCGTCATTAATTCGCCCACAATTATGATCCGTTTACATTTTTTGTTTTATAGGGAGTACGCCGAGTTGAAAGAAGCACTCTACTATTTACAACATCTTGCACGGATTCGTGGATTGTCCGTGTTTTATGACCTTGAAGAAGGTCTGAACTATGTAATAGAGATCGTAAAGGAGGTAAGTAACTTTTGTACTTATTAATTTGCACCATTAATCTTTTGATTTGCAGATAGTTCCAAAGTTTGGTCCCCGCACTGCTAATACTTTCCCGAGCTACTAAACCTATCTTTACTGAGGCGTCTAGATAAAAACCATGTTCTCATTGACCAGGGAAGATGTAACTGCCAGTTTGGCGCCTTTCTTTCTCGAATTCGATGGCTTGTTTTGATATCCCTTCTGGTTCTCGGATCATTGTTCTTTCAACCTTTGTAGTACCGTTGAATTGGACAACTCGGGAGTGACAGCTTCTCAGAGCTTCTGTAATTTGATTGATGCAATGACTGCTTGATTTTAAGACTAGTTTAAAATAACTTTTTCCCTCTTTGAGGAGGTTTATCCAGGGATAACCGCGCTTTCGATCGCAGCAATGCACGGTCCGTGTTGCAGTTGGCACAGGATAGCAGCACATTGCTGCAGTAGCTACCCCGAGATTTCCCTGTCGGACAGTGATACGATCCGTATGGTGTCCATTTCCACTTGGATGAATCCAGATCACTGTCGGTGCTTTCACAGCACTGGACCATGTATTACTGATGGCCACACACATCCTGAATAGGCGCTAGCTGTTTTCGTTCAGGTTTCCCATATCAAGCGGCTTGATTATCCACCTCCACGTTTGTTTATCATGACCGATTCGAGCATTGAGCTCAGTCACGGGGAAGTGGCGTTGAGTTGATGGGATGGATTATAATGGCAGGTGACAGTTGCTCGTAGAATCCTCCCCCCTACATTTTGGGTGAGAGGCCTTCGCATCGTACACTGACAAAAAATGGTGAGAAGTTTTCTTAACAGTCGAAGACCCATAGTCATTCTCTTTGCATTGATACCATTCGGTTCATCTATCATTCTTCCGTTCATGTGACCAGTCACTACAAACCCGAATCCATGTTTCCGTCAACCATCCCTTGAATTTCAATACCGGTAGGAAGTGTATACAACTCCCTTTAATATTCTTTGATCAAACGACCGAGTTTAACTGGGAGCATCGAAAGCGTTTCTGCACCTTGGCTACAAGGGCTTAACGCCCTTCGGGCATGTGGCTTCTATTTCTGTCCTGATGGTATTATTTTGAGAACTCAGGGAACGAGGCACACTTGTCCAACTATTATAGATGCTGCGCAAAGCAGGTGCTTTTGAGCCCCACTGAACTCTTGGCTTCCAAAGTCATTCCGGGCGATCATATACCACAGTCAGGGTCAACTGTTGTGTTCGCGGCTTTTACGCCGACTTATTCTAACCGTCCTAATCCAGTTGAAGGTAACGTCGCTGGTTCCATAAGTATGGAGAGGCCCGTCGCTTGTCTTCACATCTGTATTAGCGACCAGTACGACTTTATTCTGTAGACCGCCTCGCACCATAATTTGTCGTAGTTCGGGGACCCGTTGTTTTCTATCTGGCTGCTGTCCGTTAGCTATCTTGACAGTTAAATCTCGATGAATTAAGTTTCATCACTGGCACTGAAGCTCGACGACCACAACAAGGTTTCAGGTTTTGGTCCACAAGCGCATTCCAGTGATGCTCAGCATGCGTACTCACAGGCATGTGCTCTTGAGCGATGTCTTCAAAGGTTATCCTAAGTTAACCTGCACAAGCATTGGAATAACTCCTCTCGCGGATGGCAACAGGACCAAAACCTAATAAAATCCGAACACTCCGTTTTAAATAATGTACGGTAGAATACGAACAGTCCGTTGTGTCAGTGAACATTGTAAAGTAACCTGGAAATCTAGAATCCCCACTAACATTTTGATCCCAGAGGGCGATATGAATGCCCAAGTTGGTCGTCTGAATCCCTTGAAATCACATTTGGGTGGTCAGTTTGCTTGTGGTACGGACAACAGGGAACGGCTCATTGAGTTGTGTGCTGATCAGCTGTTTCTAGCCATTACGAAACTTCAGTATAAATGTTTGCATAACATAACCTGCTGTTGCTTGACGTTGGGTTTCCCTTCAGGCTCTCAAAAGTCAGTGAGAAAAATACCAATCCACCATCTTCTGAGAACTAACATAGCTCAACGGCATTGATCTGAGCTAGCTTTACCACCCTCCTCAGTAAGTCAACACTGTACTGGTATAGAGCACGTGGATGAATCATAGCAAAATGTGGAAGGTGCTATGCTAGCGGCGTCCATTGCTGTCTGCTTGACTTCTCCCATACGATCAAAGAATCACTGGATAACTTCGAGATCTCTAGAAGTAACTGATGCCATACCGGTAGGCAGTGGGTACCACAGTGCACGCGAGTCCCTCCAATGCATAGTAAAGAGACCAAGGAAGGAGCGAGAACTCTGGTAAACAGTGAAAACCCAGGAGATGAAGAAGACTTTTGCTACAGTGCCCTATACAGTCAGTAAGCTTGTCTGGACGGAGTAAAGCAACGTTTAGTGAAACTATGAATAAAAAAGACGGATCAGCAATTCGTTCGCAAAAATACCGACTTGAATGTCGGGCTAAACACTTCGCAGAACAGTGTACCTGGTCTGCTGCAACACAGCCCCTGGAGACAACGCATGCGGGAGAATGGAATGTAAACCTTGATCGCCCGTCGAAAGAACCAATAAGATACGAAATATCCGTACTGAAACGTGGGAGGGCTCTAGGACCCTATCGTATCTCCTCAGCCCTCTTCAGGGAAGGCAGAGTACACCTGGTGAATCATCTGACAAAACACTGGTGCGATGTGGAATGTAGAGAAGGTGCCTGCAGAATGAGGCACATCAAGTTATTTCTGTCTTCAAAAAAGGTACGCGGACACTGAAAAACACCGTGGCATGAGCCTGGTAGCTGTGGCATCGAAGGTGCTCACTGATCTCAACTCGAAGGTTGATTGAACATAAGGAGAGGCGGATCTGTGAAAAACAAGCCGGGTCCGATCCTGCAAGAGATGAATTGGTCACATTTCCACCCTCCGATAGCTTCCGGAACAGCGAATGTCTATAACAACCAACAATGGTGAGCTTCGTTAGCTTGAAAACTGCCTTTGTTTCCGAGGACCTGCGGACACTATGGCACTGTTTATAGGGCAAATGTGTCCCCCATAAATTCTTGACTTCCCTCAAGGCGCTGTACGCCAACTGTAGCGGACGTGTGAAGGGCTATGGGAGGCTCTAACCTGAGTTAACTACATTAATTTGGTTTCAAACAAGGTTTTCCTCCTCTTTCCTCTTCAACTTTATCATTGATATGATCATGGAAGACTCAGTCTTACTCTCTAATGCTTGTAGGATCGAAATGCTTCCGGGTATTCGCTCAAAAATATTGAGTACACAGACGACAAATCTCTATTTGGACCTAATGGTATTTTATTGCAGACAATATCAAGTAATCTAAATAATTCTGCCTCACGGTTTGGTATGTGCTTCTCACGTGCAAAATAGAGTGCTGCTGCAAGATTGGGTGGGCTTGAGCTCATGCTTACGGATGATATGACTGAGGTTGTAGACATCTGAGTAGGCATCTGGGTCTGCCCTGGTGGTCTAGCTAAAGATGGTATTCATATACAGATTGACAAAACCAGACCAGGTTTTATGAACCTGCCTTGCTTGTGGCGTAGGCGTGACATAAGCCTATCCGTCAAGGTTAGAGTATACAATGCTGTGGTGTGCTCTATATTATTATACGGGTCATAAACCTGGCAGCTGCAAGCTGAGGACGCCAAAAACTTCCAGTGTTTGACCATTGATGTCTTCGGAGCATTTCCCGAGTTCGGTGGGAACACTAAATCCTTTATGCTGAAGTACGTTTAATGACATTTGGAGGAAATAATTCGCCCAAGATAGATGAACCGATCGCACTCCATAGGTTACCCTTGCTTGATCACGCGCTCCGTATGCCAGTCGACCGAACCCCTCGAAGAGCCATTTTTGCACTACCACATGAAGGGTGGAAAGGAGCCAGGGGCGGTCAAACAATGTCTTGGTAATGGAGTGTGGAAGCCATCGCTAACAAACTCAGCTGCACTAATCATTGAGGTTTCCATGGTTGGGACGCCCGAGGCGAGACATATCAATGGTTGCAGACATTGTCGCGCATGCATCCAACCTGTGGCCTTCAATGCGTAGCTCCTCTCCCCGGATCTCTCGATTAAAAACTTCACTGACACTCCTGTATTTATGCACTAATAAAATCAGCTACGGTCCTCAATGCTTAACTGTCATTGGCGAACGAAGCTGTGCTAGCCATAAGCACTATACTTCATGAACTCGGTTTTTAAAACTGGTGATGATGATCAAATAAGAAAAGCGGATGGCTTACTGGCTTACTGCACCTCTGCCGAAAGTCATCATCATGATCATTATTATCGGCGAAAGTCACTCTATTGTTGTTGAGTTTGACGGGAAGCCCTGCCGGACCCGACTCTTAATCGGTTTTAATCGCAATGGCCACTTCTCAGTCGCGATGTCCAGCTAGAGGCCGTCTGTTGGTTTACGTTTTTCATGAATTTTGACGCTTGTCTGGATCGATGTATGAACAAAAGCGCCATCATTGTTTTTATCCAGACCTTCCATGTGTCGCGTGTAAGTGCATTTCACAAGACATTCGCCTCGACCCTAGCCTTGGACGCCATCCACCAAGATTTGCACAGTAAATCTGACTGGTAAATACGTTAAGCAATATGTTATTTTGAGTGTCCCCTTAATATCATCGCATTTCTTTCAAAATACTTAATTCCGACGTTTCCTGTTCATTTAATTGTTTGACTGGGGAGCAGTTTGATCCCATCCTTACGCGCCAGCAATAGCAGGTTTGACGGAATTATTGTGATAACTTGATGATCATCCAGAGATGTCGAACCCATTCCTGTCGTTCATGCTTGCCAAACAAATGGCAGCATTTCAAAATCTGTCACTCATGACAATACTTTAAAGCAGTACATTACCGCCATTGTGTCCAACACTGTGCTAACCTAAGTACCTAGCCGAGGTGAAGCGTTCACAATACTGTCTTATGCAGCTTAGGTTTCGCAAAGTATGTAGAACACAAATGTGTCATAAGAAGGTTCCGCAACGCGTAGGATCGTATTTATTCAGGCAAAGCTTGTAACTGATATTCAACGGATGACTTTTATTCCTTATCCTTCATCACATAACTTTCAACCGACAGCTTCCCCATAATAGTTACCTGAGCATTTAAAACAGATTTTTGACGAACAAATCAGTTTGAGCGCCTCTGCTATTTTCTGTCTCCTAATTCACTTCAGCATCGCATCAGGGAAGACCGGAAAGCACGTTACACCGGTCTTATGTCCGATGAGGAGCTTTCTGTTTTAAGCAGGGTCGAGTAAGTCCAAATGTGTCTCCTTTTTTGTACGGTCTCGTTAAATCGTCTGTTTTGGGGCTACAGCCCGGGACTCGTTCGGGCACATCCGTTCCGAGGATAGCAACCCTTGCCACCGTTTAGATGATGACACATACGGTATCCCTTAATGTAATACTGGGTCAATAATTTGCTTTCCATGTCACCGTTACCATTTTCGGTTTATTCTTTGTCGCCATGCATCACTTCATGGGTGCCAAGCAACGCACTGATGAACTTATCGAAAGACCTCAGTATCAGATCCCTGAATTGCTACAAACCCTGTCAAGAGTGATATCTTCACTTAATATGATCGACCTCATGTTACTTAAGAATGTACTACTGAGGTATTTACTCATCGGTAGTTAGGTCGGAGCTCAATATTTAACCTGATCCAAACAAGGCAGATTATCAGAACAAAGAAGGAAGCGTCCATCCCCGCTAGTGTATTTGTCACATTCTCCGTGGTGGTAGCTTCTCCCTTTACTATTCGTCGTGCCACTTTTTCCTTATTGGACCATGGATGGCTAAAAGCTGGAGTGCCTCATTGAAAATCCAGCCGGTTTGTTCTGTCTTCCATTGCCGGACTTTAATCCAATGCGTATTGTGGCTTGAAGCTTCAATTCGAATGAAGGAGCTAGGCCTCTCCATTTTTTTCTGTGTACCGAGCTGGGAGTGGCCGGCGACTGAACGCCGCTTCTGAGGTGTTGCGTGGCTTGGCTCCTGCTTACCAGCACTCATACAAGGTGGGGTATGCGACCAGGCATAGGTAATGATGGATGTTACTGGTGCGAGCTTGTGACTCTGCTACCGAGCTCACTCCAGCCTCCATGAATTTTCCAAAAGACTACTTGTGGGATCAACAGCCTTGTAAGTAATATCGCATCCAGCAAAACACTTTGACATCTCGACCCAGCTAAACCATGCGGTGATTGAAGATTGTAATTGTGATTTTGTATGAACTCCTCTTTCGTACTGTCTCACTATGTAAGTCTGTGTTCTCCTCAATCAGTTTTCTACTGGCATATTACTCCCGAGAAAAGATCATTTCTTCACAAGAATAGTTTTCCTTGTCCAACAAAATAATTCCCACGGGTTCGGATAGCATCGTTTCCGTCTAAGAAACTACTCACACATGAGGAGATCCAGACAAAGTACCGAAAACCCATGCTCGTTGTCTAATGTTTCCATGTTTCTGTTGTGTTCCGCTTTGAGGTTGACGGGTTCTGCCTATCGAAGTACCCTTCACGTGTGTTGAGATTTTTACAAAACATCCGATTCTGGAACAGAAACAACCACGCTAAGGTTCTGGAAACTTTGGAGCATGTATCAAACAGTGAGAAGTGGAATCTTATCAGAGGCTCGCGTACGTTGCGCAGAACCCCGATGTTCTCTTCAGAATTTTTGCAGTAGTGCTGCTTCTCAAATTTTCACTTAATCTCAATTCACTATCCTCAGCAGAACACTTTAAGTAGCCAGTTAGTGTACGATAGGAGACACAGGCGTCAGTCTGCAAAACGTTCACGTACATGTATGTGACAATTAGATTAGGGCAGATTGATCCCGCAATATGCCTCGTGTCTGTTTCAGCCCATTCAAACCTGGCATTTATTGGCTAGCAACACTCAATGAAAGCAAGTGGCAATGGGTTATGGTGTCGTAGCAGTAACGGTGTGATCTGCATGGAGAGTGTGTGTTTAGTTTCCGGATTACTCTGTGAATAGAATACTGGATCACGAGTGTCAATACCCCACGGTCGATTTGTATCCACCAAACCTCTCAGTCTGTCCTAACCAACTTCCTAGCCACTGCAAAAAGACTAAAATTTATCGTGGCGGAGCGGTTTGTGTGACCCACTGAGCTTTACCGGGGGTTTCTTCTAACACCTGCGGAGGTTCTAATGTCTAGTTTGTCAGTGGATAGAGGTCTGACAAACACAATCCCCTGACCTTCTGAGTTGGAGCTTGGCAAGCTTTCGTCTGATGGTGTAGGCTATGGCCACATTCCCTCTCTCGCCTTTCCACCTTCGTTGTTGATGTACTACTTGAAATTACTCAACCTGTCTGAAAACCCTAAAGGTCAAAATGCTCCCGAGTCGTTCACTCAGAGACATTGAGGATGCGGGCGGTATTGGTCTCCTTCGTTCACATCCTCCAAAAATTCAAGTCAGTTTGAATAGTCCAGATAAATAAATTTGGGCGTTGTTCGTGCGATCCGCTTTGTGGAACCGGGTTCACGCGTCCCTCCCTAAGCTTAGCTGGAAGCATTGTGTGAAGTGACCGCTAACCGATATCAGTGGCACTTCTGTTGTCAGTTTTTTTCAGTTTGTCCTGCCCGGATTTTGAAGATGTACGCACCATTGAATTCGTTCAGTAGGCTAGGACACAGTTCCTTTCATTCTCTTCTTCCCTTTTTTCACTCTAAGGTTTTAAATATAATTAACTAAACGTTATGTTTCTACGGCAGTGAACCCCCCAGTGCCAAGATTGATATTTCTGTCTATGATGACTTTTATGGTGTTCATGAGAATGAAGTTCATCAGCGTCCCGATTACCCTCTCCTTCCGTACACGCGATTTGTCACGTGTCAAGTGGGTCATCACGTCGTAATCACGTCGAAAATCATGTCAAAACGGATAGTCCTCGGGTTGTGTTTTGACAGTTTATTGTAGGCAAGCGAAAGCTAAAACTGGTAGGTTACGTCAACCGCTACGTAAATATAGGTAGGTATTTAGGTTCGGTTTGCCTGCCTTCCATATCTGATTGATGTTAGATGAGGGTTGCAGATCCTGATTCGAACCTCGGCTTACTAAACTGCTTTCTCACTGTTGGAAAGATTCCAAGAACCATACCTTGCGCTTGGCTTTGTGACGCTTTCAGAGAAGAAAACCAGGTCCATCAGATTCGCGAAAGATGGTTGTATAGTGGAAATTTTTTTTAATTGCATAATTGGTATACAGGTTCCTATTTCAAAGGGTTAAAGGACTGCTTGGACAAAGTTCCTCGGTTTTACACAGCACATTTGTATCAATCTGCATCATGTACTGAGCTGTAATCACTCGTTAAATGACGTTTTCCACATACTTCCACGTCATCTAGGATTCTCCTTGTCTGTCTTAGGATGAGGCAACCATAGATAAGATTTTAGCACTAGGTGGTCTTGGGTCTTAAGTCGATTCGATTATTCTGAGAATCCGTCCCCACGTTGTTACCCAAGAACAGTTCATTTTGCTTTGGTGGCCTCAATCCATTCGGTGATCGGGCCTCTGTTAAAGTCGTTCGAAAGGTGGAGTTACCTGAATCTATGACTAATTTGTCCAAGTTCTCGCAGTCATTCGGTCCTGTGCCTATGAAGACTGCCCTGCTATCGACCTTCATGGTAATCAAGTAATATCGTTTTCATACTCTTTGTTGTGCTTTCTTGTCAAGTTGCAGCAGATATCTAGCGAGATTATATGATCATACGATTCTCATGGTTAGGTGCTAGATGAATGAAGTTTTTTTGTCAGAATATTACAATAGTTGACCATTACTGTTCGAATTTAATATTTACATTCTGCAAACAGGTCAGTGTGCCAAGTTTTTCGTTCGTTGCGGAAGTGTGAATCCGGCCGTGTCACTCTGGAGGAGGTGAGCTTTGTGCTTTTGGTGTCCTTTTAAAAAGCCGATAAAAGTTGAGGACAGTTTTAGTGTAGCAGCGTCCAAATTGGGACTTGATCACATCCTAAGGAAAACTGCCAATATTCATGTGTTATCAAAGTTAGTTAACAAAGTGAGTACTTCTGAATGGTGAGTGCATACAATAGAAGAGTGAGTTTGCTCGTCTTGGATTTATTCCCACAGCGAGATACAGATCTCTCTTCAAGATGAGTCTTCCCAAGAACCACACGGCCTGTATCAGATTACCTGCTTTTGTGGACGTATCACAAAACGACGACTTTGTACTTTACGATTGGGAACCAATAACATTCGTCCGTTGGTTTGAGCATTGAGACAGAGGAGGCGTGTATAGTATGATGCCTGAGATACATGTATTGGCGACGGGAATCATATGCATTATAGAACTGATGTATAAGGGCATCTAATAATGCTTCCTTGTGCGGCTACTTTATCCACCCGTTTCACGTGGACATTTTTTCATGAAAAGTTCTGAGGCAAACTAAACGCACAATTTACCTCAGTGTAATTTTCAAAAATTTTGCTTTTCTTTATCACGAGAGAGCAGACGAAGTATTAGCTTAATGGTGGTGGGTAGTGGCGACAGTTCACCCATCTACGTCCAGAGAGTGCAGACTTCGAAACATAGATAGGTATTGGTAGCTTCCATAGTATCCCTTTACCAATCCGTGTGCCAGAGAACGGAACGAGTTACATAGGGATGGGTTCGAGTCGATAACCGTGTATGATCATACAATTTCGCAGTATGTTCTAAAAATCACGATCAACCGGATAACGTACGGTGGAACGGTTTGATGCGTTTCATTTGTTTGTTCTATGAATGTTCAATTTGACAAAATCCAACTTCTTTCAACAGAGCAGTTGTGGGACTACACTGTCCGTAGCATGGACGACTGATTGCTCCTGTTCTCGCGTCACTCGGTGTTCACGGAGGATTTAGAGAAAAATACTGAGAACTTTTCTGGGTCGAGTGCGATTTTAGCCGGTCCCGAGGGTGCTTGCTCTTCTGGGGAAGCACCGAGATTCCATCTGGATTTAGGACCTATGAGAACCACAAATTGCACAGAGACGCGCTTCCTTGCCGGTTAATTCACTATAGCCCTACCACGGGGAAGATGTAAGAAATCATTCCTACTCGTTCAGTTGTACGCGATTAGCGGTAGATGGCCATCACTCGAAACACACCCTTCAATCAGGCAGCATCCAGGACTTTAGCCAGCAGTGGAGGGTTGGCGAGATTCTGTTCACAGTGCATTCAAGCTAATGATTGATACCTCATCGTGACGTGTGCTGCGTTTTCATTCTACTATGTGCACCGAATTCTCTTTCTCTGTTGCTTATCACAATCTCTGCACGCGGCGAAACTCTTGCATCATAGACCTGTTTGCTTCTCGGTAAGACGTTATTTCCGTGCACATCAACGAATTTTCGAATGTAGCATCCACCCTTTCCATGTTTCGTCATGCGCCCTGTTCTATGAACTAGTGATTTATCGTATAGACAGTTTTAAGCCAAAGATAAAACACTCAAACTTCGTTCCGATGGACAGACTTTGTTGGAGGGTGGCTGGAGTTCCTATGCAAAAGCCATCGAAAGTACGTGATTGATCGTCCCGATTACTGAGCGTGAACCATTTTGTTAGCCGGTTGCCGCCTTGATATGAGTTGTATTTGCAAACACAGTGAGTTTTATACTGTACTTGTGAATACAAATACAGTACTCTCTCATCTCCGAGAAAACGTCTTCGAGAGCTCCAAAATGCTTCTTCGTATCAGGAACTTATTTATGAGGTAATTAGGTTCCACTCCTGTCTGGGTTTGTTTGGCAGTTTCCATGAGGGTTGGATAGAATCTGTCACCGAATGCTGCAAACATTCAGTATTCTTGCATTTCTGTTATTGGGATTTTTTCGGGACATGTTCAACTTGTATGGTAGTCGTCATCCCTCGTCATCTAGAACATTAGGAATTCGTGATTTTTCTGCCTAGCTAAACGTGGATAGGTTATCATAGTGTCCTGTTCCCATGCAAAGATAAAGAGCATGGTTATTTGGAACTCGAGAAATGTCGAATTGTGCATTGCTTCCTCCAACTTCATTACCTTTAATCGGTGTTTCAGTCGACGAATAATTCTGAGTCCATATTCCAGCCTAAGCTATCGCCTAGGTCAGTCCGAGTCTATTTAGAAGGACTTAAATCATGTCTCAAGTTAGCGTATTAGCGTATCGATATTGAACGCATTGACTGGTAAGCTATCCTGCTACATCCACTTGGTGAGCCCTAATGCTTAGTTCACTTGACGGGACATTACTCATAAAGTTACCGAAGACTCTTCGACAATTCGCGATCGGTTTCACTCTTGGGGCTCATCATATAGGCTCAGTCCCCGAGTTTCTGTCAACCTTATGCTAAAACCAAATTGGTGTGTAGATGAGTATGCTTTGCCTAGTTGACCGTTTTCGGGAAAACACCACGTTTTACTTGTTTAAGGTAACGGTCAACTTATAAATCTCGGTCAATGACTTTTGACGTTTTCGTTGTCTAAGGAGTGAATAAACTTTTTGGTTAACCAGAAGTTCGTTTCCTTCGGTAATGGGAAGTTGATTTACTTGTAGGAGTTACCAGTGGAGAAAACCCCGAGCTTGCTGACGTGCCTCCTCGAAAGACTTGTTGCCTCTTGGGGGTTTCATCGCTTGGATGGGTACTGTATATGTCCACGTTAGAATAAAACAGCTCTAATTCCCTCGAATAAATGATCACAGTCTTGCGTTTTCTCCTCTTTTCCACTCAACTCACTGTTTTCAACAGTTCGGTGTATGGACAAATCCTGCGACTAGGGTACTACAGGTCACTCTTATGAGATTTTAGTTCACTGTCTATGTGACTGGTCGGAGTATTGCAGAATTGGGATCACCTCACTGTGTGCATAGTCTTGAGATTTGCACACTTCGTGTGAACTATGCTGACCTTTTTGTGAACCATGGAACTGTTACAAAAAGTATCTTATTTTGGTTGAGACTCTATGTCATGACCAATTTCTCCCCTACCCTGGTTTCTCTATAGTCCTTTTGTTCACAGTTTTCGGTTAAATTTGTCGAGAGGAATTTTTATAAGGCATACTTTCACCTACATATTGTGCATGTTTTCTGATGGAAACAATTCACTTGGTCTCCCGTTCTCCTCGCATGTTTTGGTTGGCCGGACAACCAGTGGTTTCTAAAAGTAGAAGCTACTAAATGCGGTGTGAATAGCCAATCATGTTGCGAGGTTGGGACAAATCAGTCTATGTTTAGCTAGGGAAAACAGATAGAAGACTGAACAACTTTTGGCAAGCGGAATGCACCGGTCGGTATTTTCTACCGGTTTCATGTGAGTTGTGTCGTCATCATCATCGACAGCATGACATCAGTAGTCAACACCGATACTTCGCTGCCGTACAACCATGATTTATCTGAAAGCCTTATTGTGAAGAAAAGAATAATGATGGATGAGGAAGGGGCTTAGTTCTAGCTTACTACAATCATTCCGGGGCGCCTACACCTCCAAACACTCATTCATAGAAACTGACAACAGGAGCGCCACTGACATCGGTTGGCAGCCATATCTTGCAGCGTTTCCAACCAGGCGCACTGAGGATTACACGGTCCCCATTCTGGAAAACGAGAGAACCGACAATCACTCAAACGTTTCGTGATTTCTTTCATGCCACTCTTCCAGGTCAAGGATTGGCCACCTCTCTGCTTCTGCCACTCTGAATTGGGCATGGAAAACAACACTCTCTTCGGCAAGCGATGGTTAGGCATACGCAACACATGGTGAATGGTGTCACATAGCCTTCATATGTAGTGGTTCAACCCATCATCAGTCAGTTGAGTACTGTGTTGGTGGGTCTGATTTCAGACTTTGAAAATAATATGGATTATCCCCTTTTCAGAGTTGATAACAGTAGAAGTGCGATATAGTAAAAAGTTCCCAATTCCAAACGAGCAAAAATATGTAAGTAGTTGGTCTAATTTGTCTGTCTGTTTACTGGATTCGATCTTTGGATTTCCTCTATTGTTGATATAGTATATATATGTAGGCATATAGTAGATAGAATACTAATACAGTGTATTGTGTCAAGTGAGGAGGCGTCAGTTGGGTACGATACAGGCGATGGCTGAATACGGCACATTTATGAAGACCACATTCAACCAAAACGGCGTTCTCCCGAGGACATTTATCACCAAATCAATATATCGCTTTCTATTTCAACAGGTAACTACTGCTTGCCGGATTATGTCATAAACTGGTCCATTAAATTATGCAGAAACATAGCCACTAAGTTAAATCGTAATAGGATTCGCGGTAGTAGTATTAGCACACATCCCCGAATTTCTATCGCCGATGTTTTCGAACTGAACATTACATTGTACGTATGATGCGATAAACACCCGTTTGGAACTTCCTTCGGTGTTGGTGAGCCACTCAGCTGATATTCATGTGGACCTCCCATTAGCGATCTTCGTCAAATCGATGTACTACACAAAACTTGTCTGGTATTTCCGTTGAAACTATTTTCGAGTATGTCTCAATCAATTCAACTAATTTCACTTTATGAGCTATAAACCGTGTACCATGTACACTGATGCCAAATGCCACATTTTCGGTCACCAGAAAGTGAAAGAATGACAACAACTGGAGGAGATGGCATGGTGAGCTCAGGAACTGGGTAGCTAAGTATTGATACATGAAAACCACTGACTGCGCAATTTGGCAACTTCTGCAATCCCATTAACCATTAGTGAGCTGGGTTTGAGGGTCCTCACCCAGGTAGGCGCCAGCTGTCAACTGGTCAGCGTTTTCACGCTTTGTTGCCAGGTCATACACTGTCCATCTCGTGGGTGCTTCCACTCAGCACACTGCTGAGCGAAAACAGGCATTCGAGGCAGATGATCTGGCATTTGAAGTAAATGACCTTACCAACGCAACCTATGACGGGTGAGTAATCCATCCTTCATCCTAGATCAGCCTGGCGTACCTCAGCATCACTGATTCGATGTCCCCACCAAACCCGACCAATGCTTCGGCGACACCGACGGTCAAACACTGACAACCTTCTTCGTCCTCTACACGTAGGCGCTACGTCTCTGATTCATAAAGCAGTATGGATCGCATTGCAGCAGTGTAAATAAACTCTGCCATTGGCAGGCAAACAGATGTCAAGTCGGCGACATAGGTGTCGGACATTCGTAAAATCTCACCTAGCCTTCACTATTCTAGAAGTAATCTCATCTCCAGCCAGTCCATCGGAACGTATTCAACTCTCCAGGTAAACAAATTCGTCTACCACTTCCACTGACTCGTATGCAAGCATGAGGTTTGGGTTTGATCTCACCCAGTCTTGTAGCAGCATTCTACACTTTGCAGGTGTGAAGCGCATGCCAAAGCGTGGGGCAGAATTATTTAGGTTATTTGAAATTATTTGCATTTTTGAAGGATCTGAACCAAGAAGATCAATATCGCCCGCATCCTCAATGTCTGTGAGTGAACGACCCGGGAGCATTTCGACCTTTAGGGTTTCACAAACAGGTTGAGTAATTTCAAGTAGTACATCTACAACGAAAATGGAGAGGGAGGCGAGAGAAGGCGACCTTGTCCTACACCGTTGGACGTGGCGAACTCAGCCGAAAGCTTGCCGACACTCGTACCAGTCCACAGCACTTCGCATACGACGCCCTGATAAGGGATATAGATTTGGAAGGAACATCCTTGATCGCCAGACATGGCCAAAGTCCCTGATGGTCGACAGAGTCCAGAGTTCCTTTCAGCTCAAGAAAAACGACCAACGTGAGACCTCTGAAGGAATCACGCTGTCCATGACTTGTCGATGCATCCTCAGCCAGGGCAAAACCCTAGTTGATTCTAACAAATCTATTTCTCCCGATAATCGATCAACCTACGCAAAATAATACCAAAACTACGTCAAATGAGACGGTAGCACTGTTATCGAAGTTGTATTATTGGGTTAGGTTGTACTACTGCTTGGAACCTTTGATTCACACGTCTGTTCACTTTGTAGTTGCAATGCCATCCTGGATCTCATAGATTTCTCATGCGTTGACACGTTTTTCGTTGCACTGAACATCCACAAACGATCTTCCAACAACTCGATGTTCTCGAGATAGCCATAGTCAAACTAGCCGAACCAATCTACCTAGTTGTTAGTTTGTTCGTTAAGCTGTAACACCCTTTCGATGCCTAACTGCCATACCACCCAAAGTTTGCACGAAGGTTGGGATACTGCCAGGTTGCCGAAGCCTAAACAGTCGATAGGCAGAGGTCGGGTTCGAACCACGGACCTTTCGGTCAGTAAATTCGCGCCCTAACCACTTGGACCATCTCGCCCCAATCTACCTAAACTATTTGGCATGTATACTTAAACTTATGTGACTATCTTTGACTTAGCAATGTTGTGGAATGTAGGTAGCTCGGGTGCGCTGTTTGGTTGTTGGTCTGTTCGCCGAGCTTGACAATTGGTTTGCAAACGTTTCACCACCAATCGAGATGACATCGTCAGCGCACTGAATTTGACTGTTCTGCTTTGGAAGATCTTTGAAATAACGTGCGCTTTGCTATGTAGCTGTATCTGGATCATCCCATTGTCTTAGATGCAGGCTGAACTGTAGTAGCAGTCAGTAGTCGTTCTGTTATGCTCATTCGCTCCTTACTCTCAATTTGATCAGGCTCGTCTAGGATTGCTGAGACTGGGACTCGATTTGCCTTGTGTTCCTTCCAATTGGACCGAATCCAAAACGTTAAGTTTTGAGCAGTTTTGTCAGGCGTATACAGCTTACGTGTTGGAACATTGCGGAGATCATTCTGATTTGAATTCGGTAGGTCCCAGTCTCGTCTGGTTTTTCCACCACACTGGATTTTTGCATCAATATTGCTACACGTTACCAGTAATTTCATTTCTCCATTTTCCGCTCTTTAATCTCGCTTTTACTGAGTGTCATTACTAATGTACTAGTATACCAAATATCCCCAGACTTTGGAACCAAGCCATTCTGTTAAAACTACCGTTCCCGTGCTTGATATAAGGCACACGAGCCACCTAAAATACTGAAAATTTACACTTGTCGGGAGTGTTTTTCCGAAGGCAAATTGCTGCTGAATAAGAGAAACTCTTGAATCAATAAGGATTGGGCAGCGCTCGCTTTTATATTGTGCCGGCCTGTACTGGAACACCGTCTGTAAACTGTCCCCCAGAAGAGACCAGTTCTTGATGGTTTGCACAAAGTGCGACTGCTGAATCTCCTAAACGCCACTTAAAAATGGCCTCTTCTTAGAAGTCTGTTTTGCTGCGGCAGCGAAGCATCGTTGTTGAACACTCAAGTCGATGATGATTCCTGTTCTTAAGTATGGTTTCTGGAGTTATAACTTTATTACCAAGCTAAAGTTCATTGTGTATTCCTCAGAATATACCCAGAATTTTTTCTCCAAACTGAAAATGATGTCTTTTGAAAGGTGATATGCTCTCGTGTGCACTTTCCGGGTGAAGTGCTGTGTACGACGCTTTCCAAATACAGATATCCATCTCTAATATGACCACTCATGGTTCGTCCTTTGAGGCTTTTGTTGACCTTTGGCACCTTCCGAGGAAACACCACTTCAGGAACTGATTCGACTGTAATCCGTTGTGGTACTGGAATAATATAATTATTACTTTATTCCTCGTGAGTGCAGCACTTGCATCTGGGATACATACATGATGGTGATTGTTCGGGTGTTGGTGGGGATGACCTCTCAAATTGCAAGCCAAATTTCTTAGTACCCATTTGGTCCTAGTTTAGCGGAATGGTGGTCTCTCTTAAGAAAAACTTATTAGAAGGTGACATCGTTATCACTGTGACGAGAGACTGTCGGTGAACGTTGTCGAACTCACGTCAGACTCTGGTGTAATTTGTCGTTTCAGCCTTTTCCCCCATTGCTTCAGAGACTTGAACGCTCTGGACCAGCCTTACCATTTACCTCTCTCTCCCAGTTCATGATCACATGCTTCAGATAACATTCCGTGGCCCTTTCACTCCGGATCAAGAGTTTTCTGTCTCGAAAAGAAGGTGAAATTAAATTGAATAGGGACGATGATTTCGTTTTATCAACGGACCAACTACGACTAAGGGTTACTTGCGTGCTTCGTTTGTCCATCGTCTGCACACCAAATTTCCTAATACGCTGAACTGTCTGGGATAAATTCTTCTCAATAGCTCGTTTTGCCCTTCTGTGGCCATTTTACTAGCGTGCTTCTTCACGGCTTCAGCACGTGACAAAAGACTGAATGTCCAATATGAAGGTTACCTAAACCAATGCTACAATTAGACAGTGGGCATGTGTCCTATAGTATGTCCTTGTTCACATACCGACATTAGCAGCATAGATGAACGAGCAGCTTCATAATTTACGTCCCAAGACACATGAAGCGGAAGAAGGTCGCTGGGGTTCGTAGGCCTGTCTGTCGATTGGATTTGTTGATGGATTGAATTGCTGGAGGACACCATAAACGAGAGGTTCAGCTGTGATTCACTTGACGATTCTTTTAAAACCTTGTCGTTTAGACAAGGGCGAGCAAATTGTTCGACCGAAGAATTCGGCTGTTTAAGGTCGTTTCAAAAGCCATGCGACCACGTAAGGACTTTTCAGTTTTCTGATTCACAACGTGTTTGAATACACCTGTGTGTCTATTTTTTGCTCCCAACGTCTAAAGAGGGATGACCCTTCCCCCAGGTGTTGACGCTTCGACTTCCATACTACTGCAAGATTTAGTGTTCAGGGCATCATGACATAGCCAGAAGCAGCACCGATTTGTCGCTAACATTGCGTATACATATGCAGTAGGTTCTTCAGCAGTTGTGCTCGTTGGCATTCTGAGTAACAGTGATTGTTCCCTTTACGCCTTCTACTTATTCTCTTAACTTTTTGCTGTTGTGTTTCAGCCTCTACTGGCGGATTACCAGCCCTGTAACTTCACACTTGACTTGTATCTGGGCTCGTCCGAACTTTCCAGGCATACTGACGTTGATTCAACACTTAGATTGCTCATCGATTCGTACCGAGAAGTATTACCATCGCTCCGCACGAATCTTCAGGTGGACGAGTTTTGCCCTTGTAGTGCCAAACAAACCGAAGAAAACCTACGTTTTTGTGCGAGGATTCGTGCGCACAGCCGTTTGTTACTTTATTACGTGGATTCTAGTTCGTTCAGTGTCCGAACAATGATGGAGGTATGCTCTTTTGATTGTTTGATCTGACTTTTTTTCGAATTCGAATTTGCGATACAAAACATTTATATGGGTAGTCTCGTGTGAAATCCACTCATTTGCATACCGATTTGGTTTCCACCGGAGACTTAACTGAATCTCTCGTTTATGTCTTCCTTCAACTGACTGAGTGTTACATCTAAATTATGAATTGCAGCACTGGCGTACCGTACCAACTGAAACATGGGGCGGCCTAGTGCAGCGAATTCAGTGGAAGACCATCATAAAGGAGAGATTCAGTTGGCTCTCCCGTGAAAGCCCAGTTGTCATGCAAATGAGCGTATTTCGCTAATTTTGTGAAATCTGAGTTCAAGTAGAACAGTTGAGGAAAACGGGTAATTCGCCTACTTGATAGTCCCAAGAAGGGCAATACCGGTCACGGACTGTCAAAAAGTTTTCGGTGACCTTGTCACTGGTGGGTTACGTCTAGCTTCGTGTGATTTTCCGGTCGATCGTCAGAAACCTTGGCCATGTCTGGCGATCAAGGATGTTCCTTCCAAATCTATATCCCTTATCAGGGCGTCGTATGCGAAGTGCTGTGGACTGGTACGAGTGTCGGCAAGCTTTCGGCTGAGTTCGCCACGTCCAACGGTGTAGGACAAGGTCGCCTTCTCTCGCCTCCCTCTCCATTTTCGTTGTAGATGTACTACTTGAAATTACTCAACCTGTTTGTGAAACCCTAAAGGTCGAAATGCTCCCGGGTCGTTCACTCACAGACATTGAGGATGCGGGCGATATTGATCTTCTTGGTTCAGATCCTTCAAAAATGCAAATAATTTCAAATAACCTAAATAATTCTGCCCCACGCTTTGGCATGCGCTTCACACCTGCAAAGTGTAGAATGCTGCTACAAGACTGGGTGAGATCAAACCCAAACCTCATGCTTGCATACGAGTCAGTGGAAGTGGTAGACGAATTTGTTTACCTGGAGAGTTGAATACGTTCCGATGGACTGGTTGGAGATGAGATTACTTCTAGAATAGTGAAGGCTAGGTGAGATTTTACGAATGTCCGACACCTATATCGCCGACTTGACATCTGTTTGCCTGCCAATGGCAGAGTTTATTTACACTGCTGCAATGCGATCCATACTGCTTTATGAATCAGAGACGTAGCGCCTACGTGTAGAGGACGAAGAAGGTTGTCAGTGTTTGACCGTCGGTGTCGCCGAAGCATTGATCGGTTTTGTTGAGTAAACTGCGAAAACATTAACCAGTAAACTCAGTACGGTCGTCAACCGCCGCTTTCCTGAATGAGGACGCCGGGACTCAACTCACCAATGGTTAATGACACTGGCAGTAGTGGTGTTAGTACGGTCGTCAACCGCCGCTTTCCTGAATGAGGACGCCGGGACTCAACTCACCAATGGTTAATGACACTGGCAGTTAGTGGTGTTCATACATCAAAGCTATCTCCTACAATATGTAGCTACCCATTTCCTTAACTAACTAGGCATACCGTCTCCTTTACTGCTTGGCTGTATGTCCCACACTTACTCTCCGGTTGTCGAAGCTCTAGCATCTCAAACCAATGTACCGACAGGACACGGTTTATTGTTGATAGACTGTTGTAATTGGCAATGTTGTATGGTACGTTTTTTTATACTGACTATATTTCGTGCCATTTGAGGCTGGTTTGGATTTATTAGTTTCGATCAGTAACTCTAGTGTAAGTGCAAAAAAATATCTGAAGAATGATGGTGCATCTGGTTGTAACACTCTTCCGTTATGCTAGAATTCTTTGATCTTTTTCCGCTCTCTGCTTGGTTGTGATCAGCCTTCACCGCAACTATTACATCGATAAGATTGCGTCCTCAACATTGTCCAACAATTAGGGACTCTGTTTTTTTACTTGCAGTTGTAATCTGGTTTCCTGCAATTTGAGTAACTAGTGGGCGCTTCTGATCAACCATGGGATATCCATGGTGGGTTGCAGGCAGTGTGAAGGTGAGCCAACTGTACAAACCTGATGTTCCGATATGTTGACTCCAAACCGTCCTATGCAGCAAATTTAAAATGTGAAGTAGAACGAAGTTTCGGAGGAATCATTGAGGGCTCTTGGCCTGCATAACTGCATACGGTCGGAAACTGTGTAGCACATTTGAATGTATCGGAGCACCACGCAGTATGGCGTCTGTTTTTCAGCGAACCATTCACCGTGCTTTTCTCTTCAATATTGAGCACTAGGGCCACATTAGGTAGGCGGGTCAAAAACAACGCAGTCAAATTACCACAACAGTTAACTGATGTTGCATACTTTCTCATAAGGTAACCGTGAGACTACACTGGTAACCAGCTAGGGAACACCAGAATAGTTTGCACTCTAGTACTGTTCACCGATTTACTGGGAGAAAGTACAGCCTGACAATCTTAACAATGTATTTGTAGCACTTTCCGGCTGTGGTCGAATTAGTGATCGAACCACCACACCTTTCCTTCACTCAGCGAAGACACTAAAGATCAATGAAGCCTTGTTCCAACACGACAATCTCTTCTAATCTCTCAACATAATCTCGCGACACTGATTGATTCAGGTAGTTTTTCCTGATTGCCTCTTTAGAATCTTCTATTACTAAGCCACCTTTACCAAGAAGCATCAACATTGGTAGTTGGAGCAGCGTGATAGTTACCGCCTTACATGGATTTGCCTAAGTGTACAGTACGACATATGTCACTCGCTTATGAAATGAGCAAATCGTTCGGTTGTACGGTCCTTTCGTTACACAGTTAGTGTTTAGTCCCAGGTAATACGGGGGTGAAGTACTGTGGGTTATATAATCTCAGACGGCATCAGCCGACGTATCAAGGAGATAGAGTTGACCCAAGTAACTATAGGTTCATCGACTTCTAAGTAGAAACTAGTGTAGCAGGTATTCATGTACAGCTGAAGCCGTGGTGCTCGGATTTTACTAAAACAACAACAACGGGGCGTTCGCGAACCCTGTTTGTTTTGGTACACCACCGCACAAACGTCTGCTTTCGGTCTACCTCGGTCTGATTTGTCTGCTTTCAATACGGTCAAGGGCAGATGCCCTGGTAAATAGGTCTGACCGTTTTTACACTTCTGAATCAGCTGTCAGAAAGACAAGTACGAACTGCCTTCCAGTGTTAGAAATGCCTGTTGTCAAGTTACAGGACGAGAGCAATTACCCGACATTTAAACTGCATCGACATGTCATTGGTTGCCCAACTCGTTGAGTGGCCCGTTTCAAGGCACTCACAAAACAACATGAATCATGGCTTTCGCTTCTGGATTACCGCTTGCTTCTCTTGTAAGTGGAGTTCAGAAATCAGGAACTTGAGTTGGAAACTTGTTCCTGAAAACACGAGCATGACAACGTTGAACGTGTTTTGACTATATGTACCGAGCACAATTAGTTTTTAACGCCTTTGTACTGCACCTTGCAACTTGATGACCGTCTACTATAGGCCAGTGCTAGGTACAAACGGACCTCAGCGCGGTTAGCTGTCGCCTGAAAGTCCTCGTCAATGATTGTCTATTCAGCTTGGCCATACCGCTGTATTCGGAAACATGTCCATGCATTTTTTTGATTTATGTCGCAATGCTTGGTAGCATTTCGGCTTGACCTAAGCATCAGATTCGAGTCGGCTACAGTGGTCACCAATCAGACAGTCGATCCACAATGTCGCGCCATATTTTTGCCAAATTTCATATCGACGAGAAGCCAGGAATCTAAGCTACTCATGTACATCTGCTAGGCCTAGGACGAATTTTTCCAAATCAGTCTTAAAAAGTGCTGCAAACAAACTGTTCAAACCATTGTAAAACAGAACGTTTTAGTAGTATAAAACGTACTGGCGACCATGATACACGAGCCCTTGCGCGATGAACAACTCTTCGGTTTTTCTCGTGAGCGGGGTTGTATTGGCCAAATTTGCGACGGCTTATGTAATATCGTAATACTTACCACTGGCCTGCCACCGTCGCTTTGGTGACTTTGATCTCGTACGAAGGAAGATGCTACAGAATTATCTTGTCCAGATTTGGGTGCTACTCAAATCTGTAAATGGCCTGAAGAATGATGGATCGTTTCTTCACGTAGGGCAATCTGTATCAGCTGTTCCTCGTTGCCAACGGGGTTCGCCGATGTTCCGTCACCTCGTTTCCGTTTACTTTATACGCTCTATCGTTGACAGCCAGGCTGATGTCACGTCGGCGCCACAAATGTTGTAGGTTAGCAAACGCTTCTGTGGCCTTTCTAATTCGGCGAGTGATTCCGTCTTTCGTCAGTCTGCTGGAACGTATCCAGCTACCCAGATAAAAGAATTTATCTATCACATCGATGGGTTCATCTCTAGGCGTAACTTTTGGGTTTGGTCCCACCCAGTCTTGCAGGAATAATTTGATCCTCCAAATGTATGGCGCGTGCCGCATTGTGCAGCAAAATTACTTATATATATATA